CAGGGAGATGCAAATCAAAACCACACTGAGATACCACCTAACTCCAGTCAGAATGCCAATTATCAATAACTCAAAAAATAACAGTTGCTGGAGAGGGTGTGGCGAAAAGGGAACACTCCTACACTATTGGTGGGAGTGCAAACTAGTACAACCTCTGTGGAAAACAGTATGGCGATTCCTAAAAGCTCTAAATATTGGCCTCCCATATGACCCCACAATCCCTCTACTGGGAATATACCCTGAAGAACTCAAGTCACTCTATAAAAAAGATACCTGTACATGTATGTTTATTGCATCATTGTTCCCGATAGGAAGATCCTGGAAGCAACCATGCTGTCCATCAGAAGAGGACTGGATTAAAAAAATGTGGTACATATACACAATGGAATGCTACGCACCCATAAAAAAGAACAAAATCATGAATTTCGCTGCAATCTGGATGGAACTAGAGTCTATAATACTGAGTGACCTCTCACAGAAACAAAGTTCTGAGTATCACATGTTCTCACTCATATAGTGGACCTTGAACATCCAACGTAATATTATAAGAAAATGACTGACAGTGGTGGGAAACTATGGGGGGAAGGGGAAGGGAGATGGAATTAATTGTAGTAAATATCTGTCTGCGGATGCGGAGACACCTCTTATCAACAAGGCTGCCTGAACGAAGCATATTAGTATACCTAACCCTTAACTGTACCCCACAATATCATAATAAAAAATATTGATAAAAAATAATTAAAAAATTTTTTTTTTAATTTTTAAGTTAAAGATAAGATCTGATGAGAAATCAGTAAGGCATAGATTGAAAATGACCATCCCATTTAGCAGCAGTGTTTTTTGTGACTGCCTGAAAAAAGAATTGAATGTTATGAATTTGTTAGTGGTCAAAAGACTCCATACCGTACATTTTACTTAATGTTGAAAGACTCAATACTAAGTTGATGAAAGTAAAAATGTCCCCTATTCTTACCACTACTATTCAGCATTACAGTGGAGATTTCAGCTTGTGTAAGAAGAAGAGAGGAAGTGTGGGATGGAGGAAAAAACTAAAGGTGTGCAGATTGGAAAGGAAGGGAAAAAAGCTTTGTTTGCTGATTACAAAAGAAGTATAAGATTTGTATTATAAAGCATTTCTAAGAGCAATTAAAAACAGACCTCAGCAAATTCCGTGTTCATGGATCAGAAGATTCAGTATGATTAAGATGGCAGTTCTCCCCAGATCTGTAAGTTAAATGTAATCTTTATCTAATTTCCAGCAAACATTTGTTGGAGAAACAGAAGTTCAAATGCAATGTATCTAAAATAGTCAAAACAATTTTGAAAAATTACAACAAAAAAATACACCCTACTTGATTTTAAAATCTACTATAAAGCTACAGTTATCAAGACAGTGTGGTAGTTGTACAAGGAAAGGCATGTAAGTTGATGGAACAAAATAGAGATTACAGAAATAAACCCTTTCATTCATGGTCAGTTGTTTTCCAACAAAAGTACTAATCCTATTCAATGAGGAAAAGATAGGATTTAAACAAATTATGCTGCAACAATTGGTTGTTCACTTGCAAGAATATGTTCACAGTCGGGCTTGGTGGCTCAGCCTGTAATTCCGTGCCTTTGGGAGGCTGAGGTGGGTGGATTGCCTGAGCCCACGAGTTCGAGACCCGCCTGGGCAGCAAGACCTCATCTCTACAATAAACCTAAAAAAAAAATCAGCTGGGCGTGGTAGTGCACGCCTGTAATTCCGGCTACTTGGAAGGCTGAGGCGGAAGGATCGCCAGAGCCCAGCAGGTCGAGGCTGCAGTGGCCGGGTGCGGCCACTGCACTCCAGTCTGCGCGACTGAGTGAGACTCAAACTCAAACTCAAAAAAAAAAAAAGAATATGTTCACTTTTCACATGCTTTTCATAAAAACTAACTTAAACTATGTTATAGACATATATGTCGGACCCGCTGGAGCTGGTCTCCGGCAGATATTATTTAAACAAATAGTATTGCAACAATTGGTTGTTCACTTGCAAGAATATGTTCACTTTTCACATGCTTTTCATAAAAATTAACTCAAAATATGTTATAGACATATATGTAAGAGGTAAAAGTATAAAATATCTAAAAGGAAACGGGAGGAAAACTTTAATGGTGGAATAGGCAAACATTTCTCAGATAGAATACTGAAAGCATAATCCATAAAAGAAAAAATTTGCTGGACTCACTGACTCATCCTGTAATCCCAGCACTTTGGGAGACTGAGGCAAATGGATTGCCTGAACCCTTGGGTTCGAGTCCAGCTTGGGCAACTTGGCGAGACCTCATCTCTACAATTAAAAAACATGTCTGTAGTTCTGGCTACTTGGAAGTCTAAGGCAGAAGGATTGCCAGAGCCCAGCAGGTTGATGCTGGCATGGCCATCAGTTTACTACTGCATTCTAGCCTGGGCGACAGAGTGAGACTCCAACTGAAAAAAAAAAAATGAAAAAAAAAATAGAACTCAATCAAAATTTAAAGGTTTTGTGCTTCAAAGTAGACCACTAATTAAATGGAGAGAGAAGCCATAGACTGAGAAAGATTTGTATATCATATATCTAGTAAAGCACTTTTTTTTTTTGTAGTCTGGATTTTACATAAAAAGAACTAATAGGATATCCATATCTATCTATTTAATATCTCTTTCTCTCTCTCTATATATAAGATAGATTAATAATATTATTAATCTATCTTACATATAGCTATATAAGAGATTTATGGGAATTGACTCATGTGTTCATGGAGGCCAAGGAGTTCCATGATATGCTGTCTACAAGTCAGAGACCTAAGAAAGACAGTGGTGTAATTCATTCCTAGTTTGAAGACCAGGGAAGCCCATGATTAAGCCTGAGGCTGGAAGGCCTGATGACAGATGGACAGGGAAAAGACTGAGGGATAGAGAACCAGGAACTTGGTACTAGACAAGGGCAGGAAAATATGGATTTCCTAGCTTGAGGAGAGGAGGGAGTTCATTCTTCCTCCTTTTTGTTCTTTTAGTCCTCAACTGATTCAAGTGCTGATCTCTCTGGAAACTCCCTCTCAGATATACCTAAAAATAACATTTTACTAGCTATCTGAGTATCACTTAATCCAGTCACAGACTTGTATCCAGAATGTATACAGAACTCTAATAATGCATTGATAAAATGTAAACAATTCAATTAATGAAGGAGGAAAACATTTGATTAGTCATTTCACCAAAGAAGATATACAGGCCACATGTAGTGACTCAAACGTGTAATCCCAGCGCTTTGGGAAGCCAAGGCAAGAGTTGATTGCCTGAGCCCAGTGGTTCCAGACCAACCTGGGCAACTTGGTAACACCTCATCTCTACAATATATCAAAAAGTAGCCAGGCATGGTAGCCCATGCCTGTAGTTCTGGCTACTTGGAAGCCTGAGGCAGAAGGATCGTCTGAGCCTAACCAGTCAACGCTGGGTGACTGTGTGCATGCCACTGCAATCCAACCTGAGTGACAGAGTGAGATTTTGACTCAAAAAAAAAAAAGAGAAGATATACAGATAACTAATGAGCACATGAGAAAGTGCCCAACAATGTACATTAAAACCTCATTAAGATACTATTTCGCAGTCACTAGAATGTTTATAATAATAATAATACATACAATTAGGAAGTGTAGTCAAGGATGTGAAAATTCATTTATACATTGCTGCTTGGAATGTATAGTGGTACACCACTTGGGAAAACAATTTTGCAGTTTCTAAAAAAGTAAAAGATAAACTCAACATATAATTCAGCAATTTCACTCCCCTACTCCAAAGAAATGAAAGCAAATATTCAAACAAAGGTATGTGCATGAGTGTTTGTAGTAGCATTATTCATAATGACCAATAAATGGAAACAATTTAAATGTCCATCAACTAGATAAGCAAAATGTGTATTCTATTGGCAGTGGGATACTATTCCACAGTAAAAAGGAATGAAGAAGTGATACATGCTACCATATTGAGGAACCTCAAAATACATGGTTAGTGAAAGAAACCTGACACAAAAGCTATATAATACATGATTCATTCAGATAAATACAGAATTTATCTGAATTGTTCATTAAAGGTGAGACAGAAAGTAGACAAGTAGTTGCTTGGAGGTTGGGATAGGAATGGAGATTAACTCTAAATAGACACAAAGCAAGTTTTTGTGATAAAAATGTTCTAAAGTGAATTGTGATAAGTGTACAACTTTAGAAACGTTCTTTTGAAAAATACTGAAGTATACAAATTGGATAAATTTTATTGTATGTAATTCATACCTCACTAATCCCCTTTAAAAAATAGTTACCTTGATTGTTTTTTTTGGTAGGAAGAACTGACAACCTGTTTCTCCGAGACTGCAGGTTTTGCATGTAATAACTAATTCTGCCATCTCTTTCCCAATTCTCTTAGTATTGGTCAGGTATATTCACTGGTATTTATATTTCATTAACAGACCATAGAAAAATTAACCTTTTTATTAATCTCTACTTTAAAATGTTGATAATTTCTTTTACCTTTATCATCTTTCTTCTTGTTGCAAGGGATATGCAAATATAATAAAATTTATAATGTACAAATGTGTGTTTTTAAGAGATGACTTTTAAAACTGATAGAGACATGTGAATAACATTTTATATGTATTTCTCAGTTATTATAATTCCTTCTTTTTATTCCAGTATATTATTAATATACTGCTATTAAATAACCTTTGTGGGACCTGTATTTTATCATGGTGTTATAATGTAATGACAGCTCACCTGAATGAGTAAAACATATATCATAGACCTGTGGCTAATCCAAATCATTTGTTTAACTTTGAATTTCAGATAGAAACATCACTAGTGTTCAGTAGTTTAATGTGAATAGAACTTTTCTGAACTATCAATTTCATTATTAATGACTAAGCAAAGATAATTCATGATATATTATTGTGATATAATTGATCTGAAGTTTAAATTGATTTTACATTGAATTCTTTTTCTTGTAGGCGTATTTCATTAGCTAGTCCATGCCAGCTTTTCAAAGCCTCTAATATGACCCAGCGATGGCAACACAGAGAGATTTCAAATTTTGAGTACTTGATTTTTCTCAACACAATAGCAGGTAATCTTAGTCCACACATTGACTTATTTCAAACAATAAATTATTAATTGCAATATGGTTAGATTATTTCAATTACTGGTATAAGTAGCTATTTCACTGCCATTGTTACTGCTAGAATGCCTTATCAAAAGTATATAATAAAGTTTTCAGTTTTATATATGGAGAGTTGACTACTTGAGATAAATTCTAAATGAATATAAAAACTCTTTTTCGGAAAAAGAGAGAATGAGAATTTACAGTTATTTCATATAGTAAGAATAAACTTATGGAGTGGTAGGAATGAAGAACACTATAAAGTCTTAAGAACCTATTACTAAGAAATGTTATTAATAATGAAACAACGAAATGCAACATAGAAAAAAAATGTGGGTAACATGCTAAGTAAAAAACATCCTGACATAGTTTATATTTGAGACATAAAGGAGATGTGTACAGGATAAGGTTGGTAACTTTCATTTTAAGTACAAATGTGAGTATTTACATGATTCTAGAGCAAGGGGGGTATAGATTCAACAAAAGAGATTCAAAGTGCTGTGGTGATTTAAATGGCAGAGAGGGAAATTCTATTCACCCAGTTGGTGGGAGTAAGGAGAAATTAAGGACAGATTTCAATGGTCATGTGAGGATAGATATTATGGTTGAGCATGGTGGCTCATGCCTGAGTACTTTCAGAAGCTGAAGCAGAAGAATTGCTTGAGTCCAGGAGGTTAAGATCAGCCTAGGAAACAGCAAGAACCTCATCTCTACAAAATTAAAAAATTATCCAGGTGTGACGGTGTACACGTGAAGTCCCAGCTACTTAGGAGGCTGAGATGGGAGGATCTCCTGAGCCCAAGTGGTCAATGCTATAGTAAACCATGATCATGCCACTGCATTCTACTTTGGTGACAGAGTGAGACCTCGACTCAAAAAAAAGGATGGAAATTAGTTCGACTAGCAGAAGAGGTAGTTGAGAGAGTAGTAGTCATTGCATATAAAACTGGATTATAACACACATACAAAGATCGGAAAATATAACGTGTACCTAAAAAACAATTAATAGTGTTATTTGTATATATACTGTGTGTGTGCATGCATAAAGTATATATTCATAGAGATATAATCAGAAAAAATGAAAATGTTAGTGTGAAGACATTGTGGAGGATTTTCTGTCATTTTGAGGAGTGAACATTCAGTTCCTTGGGAAACTTTTGAGCACCTAAGTGATATTAGAACTGCATGAAAAATTAACTTGGAGGCAGTATGTAAGATAAATTGGAATGGAGAAATACTAGACAGAGAACAAAGGGAGCAATTTCATTAAAAAAAAAAGTAATGGGTGCTTTCATTAGAGTGGTGACTGGGAATTAAAGGGAAGTATCGCATTACTTAATAATTCACAAGGTGCCAACATTTGACATGCAGCTGACTGAATGTAGGGGGTAGGTGAGAAATGTCAGAAAATCACTAGAAATGGCAGGGCCAGTAATGGTAAAAGAAGTTAAACATTTTTTATCAGCTGGACTCGATGGCTAAGGCCTGTAATCCCAGCACTTTGGGAGGCTGAGGTGAGGGAATTACCTGAGCCCACGGGTTCGAGAACAGCCTGGGCAACTTGGCGAGACCTAATGTCAACAATAAATAAAAAATTAGCCGGACGTGGTAGCGCACACCTGTAGTTCAGGCTACTTGGAAGGCTGAGGCCGAAGGATCGCCTGAACCCAGCAGGTAGACACTGTGGTGGCCGTGAGCGTGCCACTGCATTCCAGCCTGGGTGACGGAGTGAGACTCCAACTCAAAAAAAATCTTTTTTTTAAATCTAGGGAAAGATAATGTTACTGTACTGGCAAGGCTTTCAAGTTAAAGTGTTAGAAAGAGTTTTTGAAGTATAGGTCATAGAGGGTATTTTGAATTTCATCTGTGCAGAGAGGAAATCACTGAGAGAGATGAATTCACCAAGCCAGATAATACAGAATGCAGAGAGATGAGGCCTGGGGAGTGCTTCTGTGTATGAGAAGAAAGAGGGAAAGTTAGTAAAGGAGAAAAAAAGAATGAGCTTCCCCAGAATTTGTAGACGTAGGAGGAGGAGAACAGATGTAAGTCATATCTCTTGAGAGGCAAGGGGAAAGAGAGGAATGACGTTTGTCACCTGTGTCAAAGGTTAGAGTGGTAAGGGAGAATGCAGAATGAGTATAGGACACGCCTCTGGTTTTGGCATTTGAGGTCTTACTGGTTACTTCATGAGGGTTCGTTTTTAAAGCAAGCAAAAATTGTTGATTATGAGGACTAAATGATTGGTGATGAAATGGGAACTTTAGATACAGATTATAATTTTCTTAAATGTATTAGTAAAGAGAGCATGGGTTAGGGCAGAGGGCAGAAACCTCAAAAGAGGGGGAGAGAGAAAGAATAACAATTCAAGTTACGAAGGAGACGGTTTCAAGAGCTCCGGTGAAGGAATTATTCTTAGCATAGAAAAGAACCTCCTAGAGAAGTGGAGAAGGGAGTATTATGAATAATTGAAAGTTGGAGGCTGCATTGAAAGGTCTAAATTTTATCAGCTAGGGGGAAGTTATCTAACAGTCAACTGAGGGAAAGGAATGAAGAAAATATGAAGTTATGTTACAATTTGTAGGACCGATATAACTAGTGACTAAAAGGATTTTTAAATAGTACGAGATAGTATTATACAACAAGTTTAATACACATATTTTTGCATATAGTAAATCAGTTAATTCTTATTGATTGACTAGATAATAATGATTATGGGCCAATGATTATGGAGCAATATTATGCTATGATATGGATCATATCTTATGGATATGAGTATGAAATGACCTACTCTCTAATAGCTTTTGTTATAAATACAGTGCCTTTTGAATATATCCCCTATAGATTCTTTTAAAGAAATAGAATCAATAATTTGTTTTTGATGGTTTTTATGTACATTGGAAGATGAGATTAAATCTCATGTTATTTAAGATTTCTTTTATCTATTATATGTGCCACATATAGGTTCTCATGATATGATACGTTTCCCAAATGGCAGTCAGTAGACATTTGCTAGCTATCTGTTGAGTTTAACTCAATTAAAAGTCTGATTACACTAAGCAGATGCATACTCTTCTTTTTTTTAAGGTACAGTAAACTTTTGATTATTTCAGATTATTTAAGCAGATGGGACCTAATGAGGATTTTACTGTTTACTAACATTTAGGTACGACTGTCTTCAGGTCAGTGAAAAAAGAACTAATAAGTTTCAACCTCAAGATAAATTGAGTAAAATGAAAAGTTAAAAACGTTAGCTCTTACAGAGGGCTTAGATGCCAAGAGTCTATGTAGAGACCTCCTTTAATATTCAACTACATAGTAATATGACATCAGTATATGTTTGAGAAAGAAAAAGGAATGGAGATAATAGAATATAAAATAAGAAAGGAATTCAAGCAATATTAATATACTTGTCTTCCTTGTATTTTAGCCCTAAAAGTGTGTTCACATTAAATCTAACTAAAAAGATGTTGTAGACTAATAAATAGGAATTGGGATTCAAACACCAGTATTTTGATTCCAGGAACAATGATCTCATCTACTATGCTATCTTCCTAGAGTGGTGACAGCCAGAAAACTGCTGTGCATATAGAGAAGGACTACCTCATTCTTTGTTTTAATTTCTATTTTTAATAGATTTAAATATGTCACTGAATGTCATTACTTTAGAAGAGCTATCAAAGAGCATGTGGCAGCATTTTGGGGGTAGGAGAAGCAACACTGATAATGCTGTACATTATTTTCAAAGGGTTATAGAATTTGAAAACTGCCACAGAAATTTCAGAGTTACTTGTACAGTCCCCCTCTTTTTACAGATGACTAGTGAATGTCCACATGTTTTAGTCACTTAAACTTGGTTAACTAGTTGGTTGGTTGGTTAATGAGTGATAGAAAAAGGATTGTGGTTTTGAATATCTCTATGAGAATTACAAATTTATTTGAAAGATATGGGGTACAGTTCAGGACTAGATATGTAAGTGGTCATTGTACAGGTTAGAATTGCAAATTATTTTTTAAAATCTTACTAAAAAGTATTTTACTTGGGGTAGGCTTTCAAGTAATGAAAAATAGTTGTGTCATTTAAAAAAGTATAAACTTTGGGACCAGAGTATTTGAATTTAAACATGACTTGACTGTTACTAATTGTGTGATTTGGGACAAGTTACCTAACCCTTTTAGCCTCAATTTTTTCATCTACAAAAATGTGGATGGGGTGGGCACGGTGGCTCAAGACTGTAATCCCAGCACTTTGAGGACCTCGGCGAGAGGGTTGCCTGAGCCCACAGGTTCAAGACTAGCCTGGGCAACATGGTGAGACCTCATCTCTACAATAAATAAAAAAAATTAGCCAGGCATGGTAGTGCACACCTGTAGTTCTGGCTACTTGGGATAAAGGCGGAAGGATCGCTAGAGCCCAACCCCACCAGGTCATTGCTGAGGTGGCCATGAGTGTGCCACTGCACTCCAGCCTAGGCGACGGAGTGAGACTCCAACTCAGAAAAAAAAAATGGGTATGATACTGACTTCACAGGATTATTGTGAGGATTAAATAGGATCAAGTATGACTCCTTAGAACAGTGTTTGGCATTCCAAAGTTTTTAGTTGTATTTTCTTATTTTTAATAAATTACATAATTGAATCTGTTTCTAATTTTTTAAATTATAAACTTAGAGTGTGCCAGGCACAGTGGCTCATGCTTGTAATCCCTGTACTTTGGGAGGCCGAGTTAGGAGGATCACTTGAAGCCAGGAGTTTGAGACCAGGCTGGGCAACATAGTGAAATCCCGTCTCTACAAAAAATGAAAAAATAAGCCAGGAGTGGTGGCACATCTATACTCCCAACTCATTGGGAGACTGAGATGGGAGGCTTGCTTGAACCCAGGAGTTCAAGGCAGCAGTGAGCTATGATCACGCCACTGGACTACAGCCTAGGTAACAGAATGGGACCGTCTCTCTTTTTTTTTTTTTTTTTTGAGTTGGAGTCTCACTCTGTCGCCCAGCCTGGAGTGCAGTGGCCATTCCCGGCCACCGCAGCCTCGACCTGCTGGGCTCTGGCGATCCTTCTGCCTCAGCCTTCCAAGCAGCCAGAATTACAGGCATGCACTACCATGCCTGGCTGATTTATTTATTTATTGTAGAGATTAGATCTCGCTGCCCAGGTGGGTCTTGAACTCACAGGCTCAGGCAATCCACTCACCTCAGCCTCCCAAAGGCACGGGATTACAGTCTGAGCCACCGAGCCCGGCTGAGACTCTCTCTCTTAAAAAATAAATTAATAAATCAAGAGTGACTTTTTTTTCCCCAACAAGGACGAAGTTACAATGACTTAAATCAGTATCCAGTGTTTCCCTGGGTCATCACTAACTACGAATCAGAAGAACTGGATCTTACCTTGCCCAGCAACTTCAGAGATTTGTCAAAGGTAATTTCTTAGTAATCATCTGAAATATAATTGTCTTGCATTTAGAAAGAAATCTGTCTTTATTTATTTTTATGTAACTTAAAAAATCTTTTAAATATAATTGTACCACTAATATATTTATCTTTTAAATATACTTTCAGTACTTTCAAATTGAAAAATTTAATATACTTGATAACCTTTACATGATGTTTTTGATGACAGTTAAGAATATTGCATTATGTTCATGTTTTCATATACATTCAAGAAGATTTTATCACCAAATGTGAACTTCTTCCAAGGATGTTAATATTTGATAAAACATATGAAGACTGTCATGGCTGGTATTCTTACATAAAGACTCCACACCCACCCCAGGTCGCCTAGCTGATCTCCCTGTTACTTCCTTCTCTTGTCCATTCCTCTCTGCAACAGAATGGGTCCTCTTTAAATCCAATTTTGAATTATGTAACTCTTTAGACCTTTCTTCACTTACCAGTGAATAGCAAATAAATCTTTCTCAATTCAGAGCTTTGCTTCTCTGACTAATGTTTCATGTCTTTACTTTGCAAGAGGCTGACTCTCTTCCATCCTGGAGGTCACCTCCTCAGATATACCATTATTTTATTTTATTTTTATTTTTATTTTTTTGAGTTGGAGTCTCACTCTGTCACCCAGACTGGAGTGCAGTTGCTGTTCCCAGCCACCGCAGCCTCGACCTGCTGGACTCCGGCGATCCTTCCGCCTCAGCCTTCCAAGCAGCCGGAATTACAGGCATGCGCTACCACGCCCGGCTGATTTTTTGATTTATTGTAGAGATGAGGTCTCGCTGCCCAGGTGGGTCTCGAACCCGTGGGCTCAGGCAGTCCACTCACCTCAGCCTCCCAAAGGCGCGGGATGACAGGCTGAACCACCGAGCCTGGCAGATATACCATTATTAATTGCCTTCCTTCCCTGATATTTTACTCTCTGCTTCTTTCATATCACCTACCATATCCTGCATTTGCGTATGCATACTCTACTGACTTGTTTTGGTTCTTCTTTGCTCCTTCACTGAGCTTTATAATGATATCATTCCTGTTCACCATTGTTTCCCCCTGCCTAACACGGTATCTGCCACTCAATAAATGTGTTAAATGACAGAAACAAAGAACAAAGTACCATAATCTCGCTCATAAGCGAATCTTGAACAATTATCGTAATACTGTAAGAAAGGGATTGGCAGTACTGGGAAACTGCAAGGGGAGGGAGGGTGGGATTGGCAGTAGTGGGAAACTGCCAGAGGAAGGGAGATGCATACCTCATTAACAAGGGTACCTGCGTAATGAACATTTGTATACCTGACCTTGAATTATATCCCACATCTTTAAAATAGAGAAAAAAAAATAAAATGTGTTAAATGAATTAAATAAGAAAATATATAAGATATTTTTCCAGTTGCATAATGTTATCATTAGCTACATTAGATTTTTTAAGTACTAGAACATGTAAAGAAGAAAATAAAAATGTATCCTAATTTACCACACATCAGTAAGGAATAATTATATTTTTTCACTTTATTTGAGTTTTTTTATGGATGTATGTATTTATATATGTATGTATATATTGTTTTTAAAATTTTTTGATAAGTATTTTTCCATGTCTCTAGCAGTTCTTCAAGAACTTTCTTTTGCTGTCTTGGATTTTCAATAGATATAGTATTCAGAATCATTATTTGGGGATCTAAGAGAAGGTTATATTTCTTTTGGTTTTTATTATAGAGAATTTCAAGCACATAGATAAGTAGACAAAATAGCAGATGAAACTCACATGTACCCTGCTTAAAAAATGATCAACTTTTTGACTTGTTTTATCGTATTCTCTTTCCCCTTTCTCATATAACTTTTAGCCAAATGCTGCACATCGTATTATTACATCTATAAATATTGCTGTCTGTACTTCTAAAGCTAAGGTCTCTCTTTTTAAATTTCAGTTGTAGTACCATTAACACACTTAAAATATTAATAATATTTTCTTAATATTATTAAATATTATTTCCAGTTGAATAACATTGGTCATTCTTTTTAGTTTGCTTATTTAAATCAAAATTCCAATAAAAGTTTCATACATTACATTCAGTTGATATATCTCTTAAGTGTTTTTAATCTATAGATTTTACTTTCCGTTCCTTTTTTCTTTTTAATTTACAAGTTGAAGAAACATATTGTCTTGTAGATTTTCTTCTAGAGTGGATTTTGCTGATTTCATCCTTGTGGTATAGTCTTACATGTTCTTCTGTATTTTGTAGAAATTGGTAGTTGGTTCTAGAAGCTGATTCAATATTTTTGGCTAATATGCTTTATAGGACATTTTTATATCCTATCAGAACACAGATAATATCTATTTCTTTTTTATGATAACAGTAGTCACTGGTATTTAACACATGGATTCATTAGTTTGGTAAGCATTGCAAAATAGTGTGCTTAAATTCTGTCATCTTTGTTTCATTTATTTTTGGGATTCTTTCTGTAGAGAGACATTTCCCCTCATCGGCTGTTAGGCACATCTCATAGGAAAGGCAGAATAAAAGTTTAATTTTTCTCTTATATACCAGTTTTAAAATATTGAGTTGGTTCTTAGCATCCTCTGGTAGTACCCAACTGACTATGAAATAACTATTTTTATGAACTTACAGATTTAAATGTAGTTGATGTCTCAATCCACTGCAGTTATTATTCTCTTTATTGATTCTCAGTTGTTCCTTCTTTGGTCACTGGAAACTCTGACACAAAGTTAGTCGTTTTTGATAACTTCCATGCTCTCTGGTTTGATAAGTCTTCACCCTCACAACTTCTAGCCCAGATCTAAAATCATCTATTTCTTTGAGAGTCCTCATGGGACTCATTTTAGTGGGAAATAGTATTTGGAAACCACAGTTTGATCTGTTATGCTTGTTGCTACTGGATTTGTCATTATTTCCCTCTCCTTTTTAGAGGGAGCTAGGGAAAAATTTAAAATGAAATACATCATGAGTTCAAACTGATTCCTCCAATTTAAATTTAGGGTCATATTTCTTTTAGGGTATAAGAACTGAGTTCCCGCTTTCATTTGTTTAGGTGGGCAGAAAGTCCCTTCTTTTTTCTAAAACTCCACTCTGTAGCAATTTCTAGCAGTACCCAATGAATGTTTACATCCTTTAATCTGAAGATTCTGTGTTGCTTCTACCTGGTCTGTACCTTGAATCAGTGTTGCTCCATTAATCACTCTAGGTCACTCTAAATTCTCAGGACACCAGATTTCTTGCTCTGAGTACTGACTGTTTTCAAGAACATACATAGTCCTTTATCTCAACTCTCCTAAATCTATCTTAGACCACAGTGAAGTATTTAAATAAAGTTCTATTCAGTACCAAATCTTGCAGTAGAAATGCAAGGCTCCCCGTGATTTATAGTTTTCATCAGAGGATCATTGCAGAGTCCAACATGACAGGTCCATGGCAGTTCACTCCTCATATCCAGTGTCCTTCACGGAGTTCAGACATGACTTCTTTTCTGACATCAGAGAAAGTGGTATGACAGTTCCTCAAAAAATTAAAAATAAAATTACCATATAATCCAGCGGTTGTATTCCTGGGCATATATCCAAAATAGTTGAAAGCAGGGAGATGAACAGATATTTGGACACCTATGTTTATATTTGTAGCAATATTACAACAGCCAAAACATAGAACAACTTATGTGTCCTCTGACTAAAGGATGGATAACCAAAAAGTTGGAATATACATACAATGGAATATTATTCAGCCTTAAGAAGTAAGGAAACTCTGACATGCTGCATGAATGGACCTTGAAACATTATGCTAAGTGAAATAAGGCAACCACAAAAGGCAAATACTTTATGATTCCACTCATATAAGATTTTCAAATTCATAAAGACATAAAGTAGAATCATGTTTGCCAGGTGCTGGGGTGAGGGGAGAATAGGGAGCTATTGTCTAATAGGTATAGAGTTTCAGGTTTGCAGGATGTAAAAAGTTCTAGAGATAGGTAGTCATGGTTACGTAACGGTGTGAATGTACCTAATATGCCACTGAACTGAACACTTAAAAATTGTTAGAATGGTAAATTTTATATTATGTGCATTTTACCACAATTTTAAAAAGGCCAATAACAAAAAAGAAAAAGTGTAAGCAAGCTAGACACAATTAGAACTTTGAAAAAGTGCCTGTGTGCTTCTCTGTAATCTCCTTGAGAACATGCGCAAAACATTCCCAGGCTAACATTCTCTGCAGGAGGGATGTGACTGACACATGGAAGACAGCTGAGCTGTCCTAGCTGAGGCCATCCCAAACAAGCCAGTCCTCAGCTGACCACAAATAGGTGATTGAGTCCAACTAAGAGCAGCCAAGCCTGGCCCAGGTCAGAATTTTCTAGTTGACCCATCGACTGTTAGGAATAATAAATGGTTGCTGTTTTTAAAAAAAATAAGGCAAAGGAAAGCCTTATTTACATATAAGTATTGTATTTATTCTAACAGCCTGTAGTATTTCACTGCAATCTGTAGAGCTCTCTAGCCTAATAAATGAGGACTGTATTAGTTGGACTTGTGTAATGAGCGATGCGGTAAGTCAATAATAAAAACCGGACAGCTCCTTAATCCTCAGGCTATTATAACCTGCTCTCCCTCCATTGTTTGAATTTTGTGTACATGAAAGTAAAAAATCTGTGTACGTGAAAGTAAAAAATCTTATTTTTCATGAATTTTTTAGAATATAAAATTTGCTTCACACAATGAGTGACATTTAGATAAATACCCATTCTAGAATTCTAGAATTGTTTTCTTTTTTTAGTACTGAATACTTCAATTTGGATTTACATAAGCATGTAGCGTATTAAAAATTTTTATTTGATGATTTTTTGGAAATCCCTTGAAGATGTAGTGGATGGTAAGATGGTTTGTGGACCAGGCCCATGTTTCTGTTTTGATGGAACAGGAGCTAACGGTGACAGTTGGGAGGCTATTTGGATATTTCCTCTGAGACTGTA